GATCGATCGGCGATTGATCGAACGATACAAAATTTCACGAGTTTCGTTAAATCGAATTTTGAGATTTAATCGCAGGATGATTAAAACGTGCCACGTTCCGACGTTTCCGGAAAAGAATTCGAAGAGGAGAAGTCTGCAACTCGCGCGAGTTTCACTCACGTATAAGTACGTAGCGAAGAAATATAATCCGTGACGACCATATATACCATGGTTGCATCGTACCGCGCGTTGGCAAGCGACATTCATTTATTTCGGACGCCAACTTTAAATCCATCGGAACAATTAAACCGGTACGATACCGGTGCACGCATATCGCGTGGGCGTCACGTTCAAAACGCCACGTACGACCTTTCCTTGTATCGTGCGGCTGCCTGGTTCGCGGCAGATAAGAGGAAAGACAAAAATTGCCGCGTCGCTCTAATAAAAAAATAAACCCAAGTGCTTACACGGGCGGAATAACCCGCGCTCTCCGCTCTCCGCTAAAAAGTAACGATCCCCGTATAAAGAGTCAAGTTTACCTTCGTAAACGCCTCTTTTCGACAGTTTAACGTACGATATTAAAAGATCGAACTTATCGATTTTTTTAATGGTAATGAAAACGAGACGTGCGCATACCTGTTTTCTCCTTTATAAGAGAGTATAAAAGTGCGATAAAAACGATGAAGAAAATTTAACGAATGTTTATTATTATTATAGAGGGGTTAGCCGCTCGCGTTAAAAAAAAAAAGGAACAATTCGAACGTCGCTTTTATATATTAATTCGCGAATTATTCACGATTATCTTGAATAATTCTGGCTCTGCCTTTTTAATTATTATTACTATTAAAAATTTCTAGATTTTCAGTTTTCAGTTTCCGCGAAGTTGACATTTCGAATTTTCGCGCGTTAATAACAAAATAAAGTCGAGAGCGGCTGAATTTGACTATAATAATAAACGTAAAAAAAAAAGTTCTAAGAGGAATTAAAATTCTCCATTAAGAGCGCGTTTTCGATGTTTATTCGTGCTATTAAATACAATCTCGAAGGATTCCAGGTATATCCACCTGGATATTCTCTACCGATGAAAAGTTTCCAGGGCCTCGCCGATCTTAGGCGAGGATTCCTAAGCGTGGAATCGGACGATAAGACGAATGGAAATTAGGTACATTACCGGGTATATTTGACGGTGGGAACAAATGGCGCTCGGCGTATCGTCTTTGACAAGAAGCATGTATCACTTTCACGAGGACTGCGAGCTGTACGCGCGGGTGATGAATCGTGGCACACCGTTCTTTCATTTTTCACGTCCATAGGGCACCGACCATGGAGAGGTTCGACGCTGCTTTCGTTCGCCGGTTTTAAACCGTTCTTCCATCCTTGGGGAGGAAAAATATAAATCGCGATAAACCGTCTCCACCCTTCCACGGAATTTATTCCGCACGGTTGTTAAATATCCCGCCGTGATATATGGGCCGATAAACGTTCATTTGTGACGAAGAAAATTTTTATTGACTTCCCCGACGACGCACGACGAAGGTAAAAATAATGTCAATATTTACTGCACGTTTTAAACCATCGCAACGCGTAGAAACGAATACAAGTAACGTTTAATGTTGCATTACTCAAATCTTATTGGCGGCCGTGCGATTTTAATATTCCGAATGTCGCCGCGGTATTCACCTTGCCGCGTGAATAATCAAACGCAGCTCCGTATCGCGGTACGATACGGCTTCGAATAATTCGTAATTCTTTGATCTTATTACGTTATACGCGTACATACGTACTGTACCATAAATTTAATTACAACCTTATCCCCCTTTACAATATAGGGGGATAGAAAATTTCCCTCGAATTCGAGATAAAATAATATAGAAATACAGAAAGAGGCAGGAAATTGTCGAATAAAAGGAGGGAGGACGCGAGCGACGATGATGATGATGATGCGACCACGTGTCGATCGATGCACGTCACGATGCAAATGCGTTTAAACCGTAAACGTATCTCGTGAGCGTAAACGAACACCGGTATCGCGAATTGAATTCGAAAAAGGAGAGGTTCGCCGTGCATACTTAATGGTATGCATCACTGCGAATATTATTGATGCGTCTCGCGAATTCAACCGCGTGATGCACGCCCCGACCGATGGCCTCTATTAAATTCGGCTCGACGCTAAATATGCTGATTCGTCGCTGCAGGTGGCACCGTCGATGGTGGTGGTGGTGGTGGTTGGTCGGTCGGGTTAATGGCGATGCCTTCTCGAATACGAGGAGGTGAGCAAGGGGCCGACGACCGATTTTCATGGGACAACCGATAGGGGCACACGTGGTGCTGGAGGAACGGGTTCTTCCTTCGAGGGAATTTTTTTCTCCGCCAGGACTCGGTCCACGCGATCGCCGATTCGTCGCACTTGCGAAAAAGAACGCGCATATTTATCGTGGTCGTTAATAATGCACCTAAGGCAGAGGAGGGGCACGGGGATGGAAGAAGAATTTCTTTTGGCCGAACGCGCCAACATTCGATTCGCATCGTCTCGCGTCTTCGATTGTCGCGCGCATTTTTTCTCCCTCCCTCCCTCCCTCTC